CTGACCCTTCCTGATCCATACTTCCATTTCATTAATTCGTTCAGTAAAGGTCTGAGTGCCTAGTGTATACCATAAGTGGTATATATCCGTGGACTCAACAACAGAGTGCCCTGACCTACCAGAGCTTATAGGGAAGATAGCATAATAATAGTGTGTGCATAATAAATAGGCCAGCTATAAGGCTATATGGCATTTTCCAAGAGGGTATGATCTTATCATTGTTAAGTAGACATGGCTAAAGGGCTGCAATATATGGTTATAGTTTGTGGTTATAATAATTTATGCGTGTTTTGAGGTTTTGTTTTTACTTTTTAGTACATTTGTGTTTAAAAAACTGAGATTCCTTCCCTATTTATAGTTCTTTTTAAAATCTACATCCCTGGTGCTCCATTTGGAAGATGTAAGTCAATGCGAGGATCAGTTTCTCCTTCAGAGTGCAGTTTTGAGGTAGAAATGATTGCTATTTATGTGAAAGTTTACAAAACATATTGGTTTTTTATTCAATCATTCGTACACATTTTGTTCTACAACTTGTTTACAATACCTACAATGTAATGTCACTAATCCCACTTTCTCCCTGTAGTTCTCATTTTCATCAAAACTTCTGTTCTATCGCTTCCTGCCTTTAGGGCTTCCCCCTTGTGAAAAGTCAGCACTTTTGACCTTGTGTGGTTGGTTATTCTAAGGAGTCAGTGCCTCTCTGGCTACTGGTCACTTCAGAGGCTTGTCTGTTGTTTGCTGACAGTTGAACGACATGGGGAGTTGTTTTACAGGTGGAAAGAGTGGCTAACGGCCACGGTGAGTGGTACCACCAGTTTCTGTAAACACGGCTGTTAACACGGCTGTTCTATGGTTTTGAGTTTTGTTCCATAGCAGATCCCTTTGAGAGGAGCCTGTGGTGGCCAGGCACCATCTAGCTCTTCTGGTCTCAGGGTGTGGAATTTGAGGTTCATGTGGTCCCTTAGTTCTTCCACTAATTGTTTCAGCATGTGTTTGCTTTTCTTCCTCTTCTTTGTCCCAGAAAGGGAGCAATTAATAATTGTACCTTATATAACTGCTCATAGAAATCTTAATTATATAAAGAAGAACGCAGAATAACATGGTTATTTATTGATGTGGCTAAGCCAGGTTTTTGCTCTGAAAGAAAAATTTCCAACCCCTTTCCATCTTAATTCTAAATGTTTTCAGTTGCGATTCTGAGTAATTTGTATTTTTATTTTAGGGTGCTTAAAAGGGGATTTTTCAACTTTTTGCTACTAATATTTATTGTTGTTGTTAAATATAGTCAACTTGACTCATAGCTACACCATAAACTACAGATCTGAATCTTGCTTTATCCTGTACCATCCTCACAATCTCTGCTATGCCCAAGCCCATTGCTATATAGTCACTGGGTCAATCCATCTTGTTGAGGGTCGTCTTCTCTTTCTCTGACCCTTCCTATTTCCCAGCATGATGTCTTTTTTCAAGGACTTGTTCCTCCTGACAACATACCCAAAGGATATGAGACAAAGTTTTGCCATTCTTGCTTCTAGGGAGCATTCTGATTGCACTTTCTCCAAGACAGACTTGTTTGTCCTTTTGACAGCCCATGGGATATTCAGTACTCTTCACTAACACTACCAACTCAAAGACATCAATTTTTCTTCTGTCATCCTTATTCATTGTTCACCTTTAAGAAGCATGAGAAGATCATGGCTTGTATCAGGCTTACCTTAATCATTAAACTGACATCCTTGCTCTTTAGCATTTTGGAGAACATCCTTGACAACTTATTTTCCCAGTGCAACACATCATCTTTTGATTTCTTGACTGCTTTTACCAAAGGTGTTGATAATTGATCCAAGTAAGATGAAATCGTTAATAACAATCTTTCCTGGACCTGTTGGCCCAGTGGTGAAGAGTTCTGTTCTCTTGATGTTGAGATGTACTCCATATTAAAGACTATAGTCTTTGATCTTCTGCAGCAAGTGAAATGTTGGACAAAGTGAATACATACTTCGTTGTTATGTGCCATCGAGTTGCTTGCGACTCATAGCGACCCTATGTACAACAGCCCTAAACCCCGCTCTATCCTGTGCCAGTCGCACTGCCTCCAACACACCCATCCTGATTACCCCAGTCACTGAGTCAATCCACCTCATAGAGGGCCTTCCCCTCCTGCGCTGTCTCTCCCCCCTCCCGAGCATGATGTCCCTCTCCAAGAACCTCTCCCTCCTTACAACATGTCCAAAGTATATTAGACGAAGCCCCAGAATCCTTGCCTCCAAGGAGTAGCCTGGTTTAACCCTCTCCAGCATGAATCTGTTTGTTTTCTTGGCAGTCCATGGTACATTCAATACTCTTCTCCAGCACCACAACTCAAAGGCATCAATTCTCCTCGTATCCTCCCTAGTCATTGTCCAACTCTCTTATGCATAACAAGTGATTGCAAAGACCATGGCCTGTATCAGACGCACCGTAATCTCCAGACACACTATTGCTCTTGAGTACTTTAGAGCGGTCCCTAACAGCAGACTTTCCCATTTGCAATACGTTTTTTGATTTCCTGGCTGCTGGTGCCAAGAGTGTTGACTTTGAAAAATCACTTGAAAATGTCTGTTTATAAGATCATAGTTAAATAAATTTGTTATTGTTATAAAGTAACGTATTTATTGGGAAAAAGAATTACATAGTCAAAGGTTAAACTCACTTAAATGGCTATTTAAATAAATAAAAATTCAACATTGGGAAATGAATAAATGAAAATCTCAAGAATATATTTGACTGTCAATTTACCATACAAAATTCAAGGGACTTTTGACAACCTGTGGGCCTGATTAGCTTTCTGTTTTCAAGTATTATTTATAAAGTGAAAGAAAATTATCCTAGTGCAGAACAATGCCTATAGTAGATTGTAAAGATGTGCAGATCACCTGACAAATTAATGTGCAGGCTGAACGCCTTTCAGCTCTTACCTTCGTGTTAGAGTGTATGGGAAATCAATGCAGATAACATTCTGGTTTGCATTCCCTCAGTATAGCTGGGTGTTCAAGCAAAGAAAAAAAAAAATCTAAGGCTGCAGTTGATCCAGTGCTTTCAGTTGCTTAATTTAAAATGTAAATGCTGCTACTGCAGCTGATAGAATTCTTTCTCCTTTGAGAGCTAAGGCGCTCTGTGTAATTTAGAGCCCTGATTTCCATGCTGCAGCCTCTACACAAAGAGTCAATGGCCTAGACTCAGAATGCCCGAGTCTGGGGGCCCCTGTTGGATAGGCTGCTTTTCAGAGTGCTTTAGGGACTTTCCTGTGAACCACAATGTGCAGAGGGGGAAAGGAAGACTAGGTGCTGTGCTGAGTGGTTTCCCCAGCTCAGCCTCTCTGACCCACCATTTTTCCAGTCATGCCTTTTTCAAGGACTAGCACCTCCTGACAGTATGCCCAGAATACAGGAGGCAAAGTTTCACCATCCTTGCCTTTAAGGAGCATCCTGAAGATAGATTTGTTTGTTCTTTTGGCAGTCTATGGGTATTCAAGGGGGCATTGGTGGCCTAGTGGCAAGAATCAGTGCTGCAATCCCCAAGGCTTGTGGTTCAAACCCACCAGCTGCTCTGCAGGAGAAGGATGGGCAGTCTTCTCCTGTGCAATTAACTGCTTGTGAAAACCCGCTGGAGGATCAGCTATGTGTTGATTCCGAGTCAATGACGCACAACAACAACATGGGATATTCAGTTCTCTTTGCCAACACCACAGTTCAGAGACATTGATTCTTCTGCCATTCTTATCCATTGTCCAACTTTTACATACTTCCAAAGCATTTGAAAAACCTTGGCTTCAGGTGGACACACCTTAGTCTTTAGAGTGACATCTTTGCTCTTTAGCATCTTGGAGAGGTCTTTGAGAGCACATTTGTCCAGTGCAACATGCCTTCTGATTTCTTGACAGCAGCTTATATGGATGTTGATTGTGGATCTCAGTAAAATTAAATCCTTGACCTTTTCAGTCTTTTCTTCAACTATCATGATGTTGCCTATTGATCCAGTGGTGAGGACATTTGCTTCCTTGATGATAAAGTAGATTTTATACTGTAGACTGTAATCTTTTATTTTCAAGTGCTTGAAGTCTTTTTTACCTTCTGTCAGCAAGGTCATGGCATCTACATAAGTTGTCAATGAGTCTCCTTCAAGTAGTCCAGCTTTTAAAATTATTTGCTGTGCATGCAGATTGAGTAGATATGGAGAAAGTTTATGACCCTGGCGCTCATCTTTCCTGATTTTAAAACTTGCAGTGTTCCCTTGTTCTGTTTAAATGGCTGCTGCAGCTTCTGCGTAAGCACAATTAAGTGTTCTGGAATTCTCCATTTTTTTTCAATGTTATCTATAATTTATTATGATCCTAACAGTCAAATGTCTTTCCATAATTGATAAAACACAAATAAACATATATTTCTGTTTCTCAGCCAGGATCCATTTAATAGCAATAATGATATCTTTTGCCCCCACTCTGCATTTCAGACAAAGCATCTCAACTTTCGTCTGCTTTTGATGCTAGGCTTCTTTTAAAGACAGGACTCTACAACATTTATTTTTTATTTTATTTTTTTTAATAAACTTGTCTAGCGGATTTTTGCAAACGAGAATAAACTGCTGAGTTGGTTTGAAGTGCTGGTGACCATCAATGTTTATTGAAATGACCAACTACCATGATGTTAATCATGTTTAGGGTAACATATTAGCAGGTTACTTGGTTCAAGATGTTGTTGTCATATGCATAAGCACATTGGATAGATTACCTTGGACTAAACACACTGAAAATGGAGTGGGTAAGCAAAACTAAACACCAGTGTGACAACCTTTGAGTTGCATTGGGACTTGGGGTGGCTTTTAAATGTGAGTGTTCTTAAGAAAGCCTTTTCTTTTGTGGCTCTGCTTATAATGGTGTGATGGTTCAGCATATATTCAAAGGTAGGAAGAATTGGTACCTAGCAGGTAATAGCTTTTTATTTCCTGTCTCTATTTTTTAGTGCACATATATTTCAGTCGATCAAGTTCCAAGGACCCATGCTATCGTGATAAGCAAACCTGCCTGGCTTTGGGGGGCAGAAATGGGCGCCAATGAACATGGAGTGTGCATCGCCAATGAAGCCATCAACACCAGAGAACCTGCTGCTGAGACTGAAGCCTTACTGGGGATGGATCTGGTCAGGTAGGGAAGTTGAACTACATGGTGATTCTTAGCAACAGCTGCCCAGAAATTGGCTGGAAATCTGGATACTATTTATTGTTCCCAAATCTCTTAATCTCCCAGGGGTGATGCATGATTTTGACACAAGCATTGAGACAACAGTGGGAGAGTGGTGTTTCAGATTTGTAGATTTCACAGACTGTGCACATTTGGGTCACTGTTAGGTTGCATTGAATTGGAGTTTTCTTGATAGCAGTAGATCTGTGGCATTTGTGAATGTGCTTTCTGGTGGGGTCATTTTTGACCTGGATTGACACAGTTGAGGGATGTAGGCAAAGAAGATATACTTGGAACATAATGGTGTTGGGATCGTTAACAAAGTCTGGACCCTACCAAATGTGGGAAATAGATGACAGTGAGACTTTCCACATGGCTATTTCATTTTAATGCCTTTCCTGGTTGGGCTTGTCCAACTATTGCAATGAAAAGGGGTGTGAAGAGGACCTCTTACTTCAGGGGGCACAAGGGCTACAGGTCTCTGCATCCTGAGTGGGTATTCACGAATTGAGAGTCAAGACTCAGCTTTATACAGTTCAGTCAGGCAGGGGAGGATTCTGAGGGGTCATGTCTTACCAACCAGATCTTAAAAGTTAACCAAGAAACCCCACGGTTTCTTATGTTAAGTTCTGTGAGGCTCCTCCTAAGTGATGCGATTGCCCTGGACTACAGTTTGTCCGTCAAAGTGGGTTCTGTGGATTAGTGTTACCAATATTCCCTGAGAACTTGTTAGAAATGTAAATTCTGGAACCTGATTCCTGCAGTGCTTTAGGAAGCCTTGCACATGCTACATGACAAAAGCTGAGAACCACTACGCTAGAGGACCCTTTCTGTTGGTTGTCCCCTCGTTTGGGGGCTTAGTTTTTCCCTAGGCTTCTGCATGAAGTCACATTACTGACTTGGTCCTTGTTTGTTCTTTGTGCTGTGGTGCCAGGCCTTTGCTGGACAGCTCCTCTGAGAGCAAGCTTTTACACTTTCATCACATTGGGCAACCATCACTACTCATTTCCAAATTATTCCATCATCCTTAACAGAAAAGCAATGCTTCTTGAGCTAAGATCCTCCTTTCCCCCACTTCCTTGGACCCTCAATAACCATTAACAGACTTTGTTCCATTTTTGCCCATTCTAGATGTTTCATAAGCATCCCTGGTGGTTTAAGTGGTTAAACATCCAACTGCTAGCCAAAAGGTTGATGGTTCAAACTCACTCAGCGGCTCCATGGGAGAAAGACGTGGTCTACTTCTATAAAGCTTGTTGTTGTAATTAAGTGCCATCAAGCTGAGTCTGACTCTTAGTGACTTCATGAACAAGAGATCTGAACTCTGTCCCATCCTGCACTGGCTTTATCATCCTCAATACATTTGAGTCCTTTGCCACAGACACTGCATCAGTTTATCTCATTCAAAGTCTTCTTTCTTTTGCTGACCCCCACCTTCCTATACATGATGTCCTTTTCCAAGGACTAGCCTCTCCTAATATCATATCTAAAATACATGAAATGAAGCTCTGTAATAATTAGAACCTAGAAAAGTCTAAAAGGCTTATGAGTGGCTGTGAGTCAAGATCTTTTCGATTGACAGATGATTCATAGAAGTGGGGTCATATAGTATTTCTCCGTATGACTGACATATTTCTCTCTAGATAATGTTTTCAAGATTCATCCACATTGTATGTATCCTATGCCAGGATCATTTATCTTTATGTACAAATAATATTTCTTTGTATGTATGTAACACAGTGTGTTTATCCATTCATTTTTGAAGGACATTTATGTTGTTCCCATATTTTGGCCACTGTAAACAGTGTTGCAGTGAATAATGCTGTACAATATTTTTGCTTGTGTTTCTGCTTTCATTTCTTAGGGATATACTTAGGATTGCTCTTGCTGGGTCCTATGGGAATTCTAGGTTTTACTTTTTGAGCAAGTGCCAAACTCTTCCACAATGACTAGCCATTTTAAATTCCCAAAAGCAATGAATGGTGCTTCTGATTACTCTACAGCTTCATCAACATCTGTTGTATTAAATTATGTTTGTCATTGTCATTTATTATGCAATTGAAGTGTTCCCTCATTATGGTTTTGATTTGCATCACTAATGACTAATGATGTTGAGTTTTTGCATGTGTTTTTTGGCCACGTGCATCATGAGAGAAAGATGAGGCAGTTTGTTCTGTAATGACTTCCTGTTTTGGAGTCCTGTGGGGCAGCTCGACTCTGACCTGCATGATTCTGTGAGTTGAATTGGCTTGATGGTGGTGGTTTATTTTGAGATGGGCTTTCTCATATCATTTCCTTTAATCCCCCCCCCCCAGCAACCTAATGACATAGTTATGTTAGATACGCAGTTTTGTTATTGCTTGGTTGAGGTTCCCCCCTCCCATGATCCTGGCATGAAGGGTCAGGGAGGGAAGTCAGAATTGTGTCTGTGGATGAGTCCTGAGGTCCTGCTGTGCACAGGGACATGGGAGACATCTAGTGAGGACCAGTGCCTGTTCTGGGAGCCTCAGTGTAGAGATGAACATGTCGAACGTCAGGAAAAGCAAGATGATCGAGTTAGAAATGGCAAAAGCTCAATGATAGCTTCTGAAGAAGGGACTATTGCCCTGTTGAGGTGTTTACAAGTGAAGTCTCTGATTGTCATTGTTGTTGAGTGCCATCAAGTACAACTCAAAGTGACCCTATGAATGAAATTCCTGAATCCTGTTCTATAACTATCGTTTCTCTAATATTCATAGAGTTTTCAAAGGTCTATTGTTTAAGAAGTGGATGCCAGTCCTGCTTCCAAGACTGTCTTAACATGGGAACTCTACCAAACCTTGTCCACCATGGGTAACCGTTAGGGCATTTGGCACACTAGTGGCACAGGGTTCAGCATCACAGCAACCCCAGGTTATCTCAGTATAGCAGACTGACATATGAGTGCTGTACCACTTAGGAGAATGTTCTTCCCAAACACAGTTAACACTAGGCCTGAGGGCTGCAGGCCACCCAACTATTCAGTAAAATCAAGAGAACCTTTCTTCCAGAATCCAGCTGCTTCACGCATGAGCCTCTACACTGGGGACTTAGTCAGGGCCCAACTGACAGCTGAACATTAGACTCTTAAGCCAGTAGGTTTGTAGTTCAAACTCACCTGCTCACTCACCCCTTCCTTTGAGTGAGAACCGACTCCTGGCTGGCCCTTCAGTTGGTTTTTAGATGCTGTTAAAGGGCATGAGAGGAGAATGCCCATTTTTCTCCCCTGGAGGTGCTGGTGGATTCACAGTAAAAAGGTACTGGCTTTGCATTCACAACACAACTTCCAATGGACCGTGGCACCAGAGTGTCGTTTTGAAAGGACACAATCTTGAAAACTCCATGGACACATGGGGTTGGCCATGAGTTGGAATTGAGCAACTATCCTCACCTGTTCTTGGCACTTGTTTGCATGGACAGGTTGGGCCCTGCCGAGGCCCTGGAAGTACTGAGAGAGTGCGCCTGGAGTCCACCAGAGAGCTGTGGGAAGGAGGGTGGAGACTGGTGTCATGGTAGGCTAGGTACCAGACTTCTGAAAAAGAACAGCATTGAAAATGCTATGAAGCGCCATTCTATTCTGATGCATGCAAAGGTGCCTTGAGTTGGAGTTGACTTGATGGCAATTGGTTTTATTTTAATGGCCGAGGTGACACTGGTCAACAGAAATGGCTACTCAATTCTGTCTTTTAATGGGTTTTCTCTTTCATTTTAGGGTTTAATGTCATAACTCACCATCTTATAACCAAGTCTTCCTAAATAAGCGTAACTTGAAATGCAAAAGTCGGAAATGAATGCTTGCATTATTGCCTGATTATGAAAATAAGCCTGTTATAAGTCAGTAGCATATAATTGCATTATCTTTTTTCTTCCTGATATCACATTGAAATGACCATTTAGAAAACATCAGATTGGGTGACTTTTAATAGCTGTTTCTTCTTAAATGGAAAATTTAGTGTTCAGTCCACCACTTTATCAGGCTCATTGCCTCTGTTCCAAGAATCCTGTTATGCAGCTGGACTTCGCATATGAAGGAACAAATGAATGATAGCCATGTACTGAGTACATACTAAGTATCACCCTCTTTCATATCAGCCTGAATAGGAGATAATATTGTTTTCACTTTACAGATGAGAGAACCAAGGTTTGTCTCTTGATGGTGTAGTCTGTAGGGCTTTATACTGTTAACCCAAGACAGTGCCTCTCTGGCTGTTCAAACCCACTGGCTACTCTGCAGGAGAAAGATGGGCAGTCTCTGACTCACAGCTCATAAATGGGTCCCGACCTGATGGCAATGACTCTGACTTTGACATTACCTCAGATAGGCTGCCATTACTGATCAAGCTAGAACCAGAAGGTCTTTAAACTCTGAAACATGTTTGTCTGCCACATTTAGCACTTTATATTTTCACCTTCATTATTCATAGAATCTATCTGCATGGGGGCCAAATGATCTAAATACTCATTTTATAAAACCAGAAATCTCACTGCCAGTGAGTCAGTTCTTCCACACGACAGCCCTCTATCGGATCTCTAAGCTGTAAATCTTAGTGAAAGGAGACTGTCAGGCTTTCTTCCTCAGAACAGCTAATGAGTTTGAACAGCCAACCTTTCAATGAGTAGCCCAACCCACTCTGCTATGCCACCAGGGGTCCTTTTAAAAGTCACATAAAATCGAAGTCCAGTTATATTATGTAACCTGCCAAGGTCTATCCAGAAGAGCTAGGCTGATAAGTAATAAGAAAAATGTGTCATGTTCTCACCAGCCATCCATTCTTAGTATGACCTCTAAGCAGATTCCCAGAGGACAGTGGCTGGTAGGTACACTTGGTATCACTAAGCAGAATTCCTAGTCTAGACTTGCTGAGGTCAAGGCTCGCTTAGGTGGTTGTTCCCTTTTTCTCAGAATAGAGGCAGAAGAAAGAAAAGCCAAGAAGAGAAAAATCTAGAAAACTAAACTGGCCAGCTCCAAGGAAAAGAGTAAGAAAGAGAAAAAGAGGTGGCTGGAATTTCTTTTGTTAGAGGAGAAGTCACTCTTGTGTGTGGATAGGGGATGTCGAAAGACAGAAAACACCCCATATTTATTATCTGAATGCATGAGAAATATTTTCTGCCTTAAAAGCTGTTGGTTGGTTTGTATATTTGTATTAACATATTTATACATCTTGGCATGATTCATAATGTAGTCTTGTCTCAGTCTTCTGTCATTATTACCATGGGAATATGTACTTTGAAGAGGCTGAGGTGAACTCCTTGCTTCCTTACTTAAGGCTTGGCTTAGAAAGAGGAACAACAGCAAAGGAAGCCCTAGATGTGATTGTGTCCTTGTTGGACGAACATGGACAAGGTGGAAATTATTATGAAGATGCAGACTCCTGCCATAGTTTCCAAAGTGCATATCTGATTGTGGATCGGGAAGAAGCCTGGGTTCTCGAGACCGTAGGGAAGTACTGGGCAGCCGAGAGGATCACAGGTGAGTGGACGTGGGGAAGGAAGGATTCGGAGGCTGGGTGGATGGAGCTTTCATCAGCAGGGTCTGACCTAGTACAGGTCCTCAGCTTATATTGACTCTCTCTGTTCTGGATCCTCATGCCTAAACATGCCTCTCATCCCTTGGTTTTGCTTCCATGTTAGAACTTGGAGTTTCTTGAACCTGGAGTCATGAAGTATTGACACTTGGGAATTACACTCCAAACATTTCATATTTCTGTTTGCTTCCTGGACAGGACTCAATTTGGACTCACAGTAGCTCTGTAATACAAAGTCTTACATTGTGTATTGGTCAAGGTCAATGGTGATTCTCCATTCAGAATACGGTCAATGAGTGAATATGGTCAAGGGTCATAATAAAGTTAAGGGGAAATTACCAGTTGATCTTGTAAGGACTATTGAGTGCTGTGCTGGAACCACAGAACCATTTCCCTGTGAGAGCCAGTTCCTGAAAGAGTGAAGGACTAGACAGGACCCAGAAGGATGGACTTGCTGCTCAGTGGCCTCAAAGCATCTTGTTTTTGAGATGGTTCTAGGGAAGTCGTTGTTAGAGGTGAGGCCAGCATCACCATAGCATCTTCATCATGATTGGATGGGATCTCAGAACAGGTGTAAAGGCTTCCAAGAAGAAGGGAAGAAGAGGTTATATGGGGCAAGTGGCTGCCAAAGCCCCTCCTAATTGTCTTTCACACTTGACAATAAGCACAAGTTGTGTGTGCTGCCATTAGCCTTCCCTGCTCCTTTGCAGACATGGCTGGTAGATCATGGCATTTTTTTTTCATTGACACTATGTGTTGTCTCTCTATATTTTTCTCAACTGAATTTACCAGAAAGATCTTCCGTTTCATCAGAAGCAATGTTAGGAATAATTGAAACCCTTCCTTAAGGATGATTGGAACAGAATCTGAGCTGAATTAGAAGCAGATTCACTGCATTAGTTGTGAAGCACGTCTATTATTTTCTGTGATCGCCATCAACCTAAAGATCAAGCTGCTGTGTTAATAAACACATTGTACTCAATACAATGCAGTCCATGAAATCCTGCCTGTGGCTTCCTAGATAAGCTGTGCAAAGGTTGGGTCTGCCTAGAGGCCGGAACAGTTTCTTTTAATCCTCATACAGATGCGGAAGGGCTGGTGGATCAGGTCTAGTCTCAGTTAACAGTCTCAGAGGTTTTCTGCGACCCGTATTCCTGCCAGAACATGCTGCTTTGTGGGTACCAGGTCTCCAAACATTCTGAAATGCAAGAACTTTAAACTCCTTTGTTAAGATCCTCTCCTGCTACAATTTTTTCTCTACACTGGTCCTCAGCCAGGCTCTGATTACAAGTTGCTGGGTAGTGATGGCTTCATTGTGGCTTCTGTTTTTGGCTGTATTTTTCATTCTAATTCATTCTTCAAGAATTTGGAAGCTTAGCATGCCTCTTGGAAGCAGCGAATATGAATGACCCTTTTGAGCTCCAACTGATAACTTGTTAGTATTTGCATTCTAGACAGTGTCTTGGAGCTGAAAGGTCAATTCATCCTCTCTGTGTATTTTTCAGTTCAAGCTTTAGAGAAGACACAGCAAGAGAGAATTTCTGGCTTAAACTTCATTCATGGTGGTGAATGTACACAGAATGCATGTGTTTTTACTTTAGCTTATTTAGCTGCATTTCTATGAAAAAAAGGAATTCACATAGATTTTTCTAATACACACAGACATGCACTCACAGGCATATCCCTTTATTTTAAGAGGTGATTATCTGTATTATTGCATTTTTCTCTAGTATTATGAAAAAGAGTTAAATTAAAAAGTATCTTATTTTTTAAAAATTAAATGTATTTGGGTAGCTGGATGATGATGGTGTAAGATTTTTCTCTAAGTGAAACATAAACAAATTGAGGAAAAGAAACCTCTATGAATTCAGCCTTCATAGGCTTTATTAGTAACACTAACAGTGGGCTTTAATCAAAGCAGAAAGTGTGAGGACGTCACAGAATTGGACGATGTTTCATTGTGTTATACACATGGTTAGTGTGTTTAGCGCTGACTCGACAGTATCATTAGGAGCACCTTATCTCCTTCAAAGAGTTATTTACTTTTTGTGTATGTTTAGTAATAAATACTTAGGGTCTATTTAGCCAGAATGAAGAGCTAAGTGTGTTTCCTTCTAATTGTGAATTCAGATCACAGTAAAATGATCATTGCACTTTTGAAACATGATAATGCCTAGTCAGGACTGTTTAAACCTTCTGGGTTAAGGGAGTATTGAAGGGTGAGACTGCCTGTAAATTTCTTTTTTGTTGATTAATTCTGTTATGTGTATTCTCAACTAAGTCTTGCCCTTTCTACAGAGGGAGCAAAGTGCATTTGTAATCAGCTTTCACTCACCACGAAGATTGATGCAGAGCATCCTGAACTCAGGAATTATGCTCAGAATCAAGGCTGGTGGACAGGAGAAGATGAGTTCAACTTTTCCAGTGTGTTTTCTATAGCTGATGATCAGCTAGACTGCTGTGCAGGCAAAGACAGCTTAGAAAAACAAGAAGGTGAGTGGGCATGTGCCTTATGATTCTATAGCCTGTGTCCTTCAATTATATCACTAAACTTTTCTGAACTTAGGAGAGTGAGAAATGCAAGGGAGTAGAGAGTGGGTCTTGCATGTAAAGACCAAAACTGTATTTAAAATCACATTAGGGAAAAAGACCACTTGTATTTACTTTTTATAGTACTTCCTCATCCACGGATATCTGTTACTCATCTTAGGATCTTCTTGTGTTGATTGTAGAATCCTTTCTTCCATGAGCATTTGTTGAGCTGAATTGTTAAATTGAAGTCTCTTAATGAGTCTACTATCTTCCACATAGTTACTGACTTAAGAGTTCACATTTAGAAATGTAAAGACTGGGTCACTTGTTAATTTTTGTGCCTGAATGAAAGCTTGGTAATTAAGCGAAACGGCTATGTTTTGTATTTACTAATGATAAATATATTTTGTGAGTCAAATACTTTTGGTCATTTAGCATACGGATCAGTAAACCTATGAGCAACTTCCTGATTTTATAAATAAAGTCCTATTGGAACACAGTTGAATCCGTTCTTTTATATATAGTTTATGGCTCTTGTAAAACTGCCACAGTGCTGAGTAGTTGCATAGTTGTGAAAGAGAAGTTGTAACATGAGCTGTATGACTCATAATATTTAAATAATTACCTCTTTAAGAAAAAAATAAGTGCCTTCCTATTTAGAGATTTTTCTGTAGAACTTAATTGATGTATTCTGAGGAAGAAGATTTTAGAAGTTGTTGTTATGCGCCGTCAAGTCACTTGCAACTCATAGCGACCCTATGTACAACAGCCTTAAACTCTACTCTCTCCTGTGCCAATTGCACTGTCTCCAATACACCCATCCTACTTCAGTAGGAAGGAGTAGACTGGGATAGACTGTCCATCATTCTCCCTGCAAGTTTGCTTGTGAATTAAAACCACAAGAGACACACAGCCCTCAGTTCGAATCCACCAGATGCTCTGCGGGAAAAGGAGGAGCAATCTCCTCTTGTGCCAATCAGATCCAACTCGATGGTACACAAAATGGGGAGTGGGAAAGACATTCTTAGCCTTTTTCGTTAGCAGCACAACAAACACACTACAGACCCCAGAGCCAGAACTCCTTAAAACTTGCACTGGGAGAATCTGCTGTCAGGGACCTCTCCAGAGTACTGAGAATCAACCATGTCAGTCTAGAAACTAAGGTGCAACTGATGCAGGCCATGGTCTCTGCAATTACTTGCTATGTATTAGAGACCTGGATTATGACTAAGGATGACAGAAGAAGAACTGATACCTTTGGTTTGTGGTGCTGGAGAAGAGTACTGAACATACTATTGTTGTTGTTGTTATGTGCCATCGAGTCACTTGTGACTCATAGAGACCCTATGTACAATAGCCCTATACTCTGCTCTGTCCTGTGCCAGTTGCACTGTCTCTGACACTCCCATCCCGATTATCCCAGTCACTGAATCAATCCACCTCATAGAGGGTCTTCCCCTCCTGTGCCGTCCCTCCACCCTCCCAAGCATGATCTCCTTCTCCAAGGACCGGTCTCTCCTCACAACATCTCCAAAGTATGTTAGACAGAGCCTCAGAATCCTTGCCTCCAAGAAGCCACCCGGTTTAACCCTTTCCAGGATCAATCTGTTTGCTTTTCTAGCAGTCCATGGTATTCTCAATACTCTTCTCCAGCACCACAGCTCAAAGGCATCAATTCTCCTTCTATCCTCCTTGGTCATTGTCCAGCTTTCTGATGCATAACAAGTGATTGTGAAGACCATGGCCTGTATCAGACGCACCTTAGTCTCCAGAGACACACCATTGCTCTTCAGTACTTTGGAGAGGTCCCTAACAGCAGACTTTCCCATGGCAATGCGCCTTTTAATTTCCTGGCTACTGGTGCCAAGAGTGTTGACTGTGGAGCCAAGCAAACTAAAGCTGTGTACAATCTCAATCTCTTCACCATCCATCCTGATGCTGCCGATTGGTCCAGTGGTGAGAATCTTTGTCTTCTTGATATTGAGCTTCAATCCATGTTGGAGGCTGCAGTTCTTGACCCTCTGAAGCAAGTGCTTCAGGTCCTCCTTAGTTTCAGCAAGTAGGGTGTGTCATCTGCATATCGCAGGTTGTTGATAGATCTTCCACCAATCCTGATGTGACATTTCTCCTCATAGAGCCCAGCCTCCTAGATAATCTGTTCTGCACACAGTTTGAAAAGTTATGGAGACAGGACACATCCCTGGTGTACGCCCTCCCAATTTTGAACCATGCAGTGTTTCCTTGCTCTGTTCTGATAACTGCCTCTTGGTACAAGTATAGGTGTCGCATTAGCACGATCAAGTGTTCTGGGATTCCCATTCTTCTCAGAGTCAGCCACAGTTTGTTATGATCCACACAGTCAAATGCCTTTGCATAATAAATGAAACACAGATAGACATTCCTCTTGTATTACCTGCTTTCACCTAATATCCATCTATCATTATCTACAATATCCCTAGTACCACGACCCCTTTCAAACCTAGCCTGGACTTCTGGCAGTTCTTTGCTAATGTACTGTTCCAGTTGTTTTTGGATAATTTTCAGATAATTTCCCATTTTAAAATGGGAACTGTAAGAACTCTATTCTAAGCTGAAAATTAAGTTAGCTTAAGTGTAGGAAGACCTTTGATGAGATGGGTTGATTCAATGACTGGGGTAATGGGGGTGGGTGTGTCAGAGGCCATAAGATTGGAACAGGATAGAGCAGGCTTAAGTGCTATTATACATAGGGTCTCCATGAGTTGTAGGCAACTTGATGGTACATAATGACAACAACAACAATTTGTACTTTGTATAGATTAGTCTAGGAAGCTCTGGTGGCTTTGTGGTAAGGTGTTGCACTACCAACCCAAAGACTTGCAGTTTGAATCTACTAGATGCTCAATGGAAGAAAAATGGGCAGTCTCTTCCTGTTGTGATTTTCAGCCTCTTCAAACCCATTGTGAGTCAGTTCTGGCTTGACAGTATATAACAACAATGGACTAATCTTGCCAAAAGCATCACACCTAAAATCTGATGAATCCTTTGAATCTAGCTGTTGGTTTATAGGAAATACAAAGGACAGAGGAAAATATGAAATAAAATAATGGAATTGCCATCTGAAAAATCAGGTACTAGAAATGTTACAGCAAAGATAGTCTGATTTCTCCAAGGACTAAAATGAAAGGGAGGAAAATGAATGGAAAACATTAAAGAGGCATGATGAAACTTTTGGATCCTGATTGAAATCAATGAACTTAGAAAACATGTGTTAAACACTGAAAAAATTTGAAAACTGAAGAAATCAAGGACTTACCCGTTTGTTCATTTGTCATGTTGTAAACAGATTTATAAAGTGAATATGTTGTATTAGCAAACTTGAAAGTGGTGCTCTGATTCTGACTTTGTGAACATACCTGTTTATGACTCAACAGTTGGTTTTTTTTTAACAAAAAGAATTTTCATTTTATTTCCAATTTCCTCTCATTTAGAATTCATTCTGTTACATCTTTAAAGACTTATTGCATCAAATCTTAATACAAAGGACACTGGACCTTAAGAAAGAGGTCCACCCTCATCTTTCTGATCTGGGGCAGTTATCATTCTTCTTATGTGTACTCTGCTAACATTACCACTAAAACCAAGACATCGTCTTAGTTTCTGCAGTTTTAGCATAGTGCTTATACAAGAAGGAATGTGAATCAATAGCTTTTAAATTAATTGTAAGAAGAAGGGTGAAATAAAGAAGATTCTGTGTGATCAGAGATGTTTATCAATGTATCTGAAGCCAGAGCCAACAGTCCTAATGGCTCCAAATGTTCTAATTCCTCTGTGTGTGTGTGTGTGTGTGTGTGTGTGTGTGTGTGTGTGTGTATCTTACCATAGACAAGTCATTTTCCAAATATAATATTGACTCTAACCAACAAGAATTTTTATGACCGAGAACATGTTGGAATGCACATATCTGTACTTGACTTTCCTAGGAATATTGTTCAATTGAATTAGTGCAGTGGCTGAAGTATAGTTGTGTATATGAGGTATATGTGTGAGATGTATACACACACAGAGAAAAAGTACTCAAAATAATGTGGCTCAAAAGGAAAAGGGAAAAAAGAAAAGAAAGGTTTTTTTACCATACTATAGTTCAGAACAATAATATCAACATAGAGAGAGAGATCAGCTGGCCCAGTGGACAAAAAGCGATGCTACCAAGCCAAAGGTGGGTGACTTCTAATATGCGGCCGTCAGGCCTGTCTTTCATTGTTTTTGTTCAGACATTCCTCTAGGTCATATAGCCCTGGTGTACAAGTTGCCATACTGCGGTCACTTTTGGCTGCTGTGAGGCTGAACACTGTGACACTGATGTGTCAAATGTGTTAATGGTTGGCTACCCAGTGTGGACAGAGAGTGGGGTGGAGCTCCCCGATTAAAACAAGCTTGGAAGGAGGAGTGGCATCTACTTCCATAATAGCTTGCCTCCGGAAACCCTATGAACCTGGAGAGAGGATGAAAGGCACCCCAGAGTTGAGGACTCTCCTTCATATGGTCACTATGAGTTGCCTGCGACTCGATGGCACTTAACAACAACATAGTTCAGAAAGGATGAAAGTCACACAAGTGTTGAGGACTTTTGTTCATAAGGTCACTATGAGTCACCTATGACTTGATGGCACTTAACAACAATAACATCAACATAGAGAGATAAGTTAGCCTAGTGGACTGAAAGTGATGCTACCAAGCCAAAGGTGGGTAACTCTAAATCCACAGCCCTCAGGCCTGTTTTTTCATTGTTTTTGTTCAAACATTCTTCTAGGTCGTACAGCCCTGGTGTGTCCACTTGCCATACAGCGGTCACTTGTGGTTGCTGTGAGGCTGAACACTGTGACACTGATGTGTCAAATGCATTAATGGTTACCCATGGTGGACAGTGTTTGGTGGAGCTCCTCGATGATAACAAGCTTGGAAGCAGGGGTGGCTGGCATCTACTTCCAAAATAGCTTGCCTCCGGAAACCCTATGAACCTGGAGAAAGGATGAAAGTCACACAAGTGTCGAGGAGGACTCTCCTTCATAGGGTCGCTATGAGTCGCCTACAACTCGACGGCACTTAACAACAGCAGAGCATAGTCCAGATGTCTGTGCACGAGGCTGGTAGCTGGTCTGGTAGATTACTCAACATTTGGCTTCTATTTGTGTCTACCTGTTGCTACCTCCCAGCCAGTAAGAAGAAGGGGAAAGAAAATTGGCAAGCGATCATTCCTTTTTATGGATATGATGAGGGAGATTTCATTCATCTCTGTTCATAGCTCATGGATCAGAATTTATTAAATGGCCACACTTGCATGCAGGAAAGCCATATAGTCTGGAGTTGATTAGTCATGATTCCAGCTGTAGTGTCAGAGATTCTATTAACTATAAAGCAAAGGAAGTTAATGAAGTTTGATTAGCAGCTAGCCACAGTTACAGAAAGCCTCTTTTGCTTTTATTTTACAGAAATCATCAATGTGCAAACTATGATTGACATCCTGCGGGACAAAGCCAGTGGAGTCTGTATAGACTCAGAGTCTTTCCTCACCACAGCCAGCACCGTGTCTGTGCTGCCTCAAAATAGAAGCTCACCATGCATCCACTACTTCACTGGGACCCCAGATCCATCCAGGTTTGTCTGAGACACAGCAAGGCAGGCAGGAAGTGTACTTCCTGGGAAAGTTCATTCACCAAGTATACCCCAAGTTCACCAACTGTATCCTAGGTTCCTGTTCCATGTACACTCTTGTCTAGCAAGATTGCATTCTTCTGCCTCCCAGCACAGGGAACTTTGATTAACAAAGCTCATAGAACTTGTTGTTAGATGCTGTCAAGTTCAGTGTGACCAATATTGACACTAGGAACAACAGATCTGAGCCCTGTCCTATCCTATGCCAACCTTGTAATTTCTGACACATTTGAGCCCACTGTAGCAGCCACTGTGTCAGTCAATCTGGTTGAGGATATTTCTTCAGTTTGCTGAACCTCCACCTTTCCAAGCACAATGACTTTCTAAGAACTAGCCTCTCCTAGCAACATGCCCAAAGTATGCAAGACAAAGCTTTATCATCTTTACCTCCAAGAAGCACTCTGGCTGCACTGTCTCTAAGACCTATCTATTTGTTCTTTTGGCAGTCCATGGGATATTCAGTATTCTTCCCCAACACCACCACTAAAAGGCATCAATTTTTCTGTCATTCATTGTCCAGCTCTCACATTGTATAGCAAGCGATTGAAAAGACCATGGCCAGAATCAGGCACACCGTAGTCCTCAAGCTTACAGCAATGCTCCTCTATAATGTGGAGAGGGTCCTGACTGCAATTTTTACAATCATGGAATTAAATTGTTTAACAGGTATATATTGAGTGTATATCGTGATATAAGATAGTGCTGTAGATAAGAGAGCAAAGATTAATAAGAATGCCCAAGACTCAAACTATCCAATTGTTATGAATTTGAGGACAAAGACCACAGGCAATGTAGACTGAAGCAACTTCAAGTATATGGCCTTTCTATTTTAAGAAGTTACTTTCTGGCCATGTACTTCAGCTAAAAGGTAGCAAATCACCGTGGTTAAGAACCTAGCTTCTAGAATAAATACATGAATCCCACCTCTATCAATTTGTTGTTCTTATGGGCTAATGTGTCCCCAGGAAATATTGTCCATCTTTCTCCCTCAGAGCAACTGGTAGACAGATTCGAACCTTTGGGTTAGCAATGAGTGATTTACTCAGTAGGTCACCAGATCTCCCTCCTCTAACAATTGTTGCTGTTGTTTTGTGATCGAGTCAGAACCAACTCATAGCTGACCCTCCAGTAGGGTATCAGAGGTGGTGAATTGCATGGAAGGAGATTGCTCACATTTCTTATGTGGAACACCTGGTGGATTGAGCCACCTATGTGTTTGATGGCAGTGCAATTCCTTAACACTAAATCACCAGAGTTCCTTAGTAGTTACTTAATCTCTGTAATCGTCAATGTCTTTATCTGTACAAGAGCTGTCATACTAACCCTTCACTTTATATTTTTATCAATGATTAAATTATTTAAGTCAAATGAATAGTACACTTTTTTGTGGCTGTATACCTTAGGTCAGAACTGACTCACAGTTGACCCCTCTACTGACTTTTCAGAGGCTGTAAATCACACGTAAGGAGATTGCTCATCTTTCTCCCAAGGACCAGCTATGGGATTTGAATCATGTATCTTCAGACTAGCAGTGCAACTCCTTACCACTAGGCCACAGGAACTCCCTGTAGTAGATATAGCTATTATTTATTAAACAATCTCTGATGTATCATACAGAGAGAACATCCCTTTCCAGTAATGTTCAGTCGTAAATACCACAAATCGCACATCGATAGCATAGACATGATTATCTGCTGGTTTCTACAGCTGTTCATTATGAGAACCATATGTGGGAATTTTGGAAAAATAATGATGCCTTGAGGCAAACTTACTACATGAGAGTCTTCAGCATGACCTAGGAATCTGCCAGGTGAGTCTGATTCTCAGTTGAGGAAACTCTGGAAGACTCTTCAGTCTGGAAGGTTCTCTGATATGTTTCAGGTGTTCTCTTAATGAAAACGATCACCGTTGTTGTAATGTTGGTGTTAAACCTTTGAATCTGCAGCTATTAAGCTCTTTGCCACTGAAACTATTCTGCTCCCCTGATTTCTGGAGGTTGTACAGCTAGCAATTCTGTGATAACTCAGGAGGAAAGCCAGCACATGCCCACTCCCATTAAAAAAAAAATAATACCAGTAGCAATAGATCTTTTTTTTTCTCCTTTCTACTAGTTTATTTACAGAATTCGAATACATTGTTTTCAAGAACAAATTCTTTCCATTTTCCTCACCCCCACCCACCCATCAGATTGTACAAACCCATGATTAATTCCCCCTCCCCCTGCACATCCTCATCCCTCAGCTTCCAGCCTCTCCTACCCCTCTAGGATCCTTATACTCATTCTACAATAATGGTTTTATTCAATATTTATCCTTTTTTTTTTCTTTTTAATATTGTTATTAATGAAAGTTTACAGATATTTTGGATTTCATTCATTCATTTTTGCACTTTTCTCCCTGCCCACCCCTCCCCTCCAGTTCATTCTTCTCTTTGAAAAGTAAAAGAAAAATTCTTTCTTTTTTTTTTTTTTCTATAATTATATTTTATTAATTTTCATAAACATTTACAGAGATTTTGGGCTTCCACTCATTCATTGTTGCACTATTCTCTTTACCCTCCTCCCAGTTTGTTCTTGTCCAAATGCCACAGTGCTTGTCAAAGCCAGTTCTGATTAATCTTCTTTGTCAGTGTATCCTTTGCCATTCCCTATCACTCCTCCCTGAGAGAGACTTCACCCTGAGTCATAAGGAAAAGGGGACGGCGTATTCTCTTAGCTACTTCCTGCTGAAAAGGGACGCTGTGGGTTTCAGGGTGAAGATCTTCTCTCACTATTCTAAAGGGCCCCTTTGGCAGTAGGAAACACATAGACTATTATGGAGATTGATTTTGGAATTCAGATGCACTCTTATTGATTGTGCTTGGCTGTACATGTACATATCCTTCAAGATGTATCATGGGGGTGTTGCAACCTAGAAGACACAAATTTGACTAACAAGTTATAAGTACATGAGTCCAAAAATTATGGAAAAGTAAAAGAAAAGATTCTTTCATTGTTTTACAAACCCTCCCCCAGGTCCCCTCCACCATGCAGCCCTCGCCCTAGTCTCCTGTGATGACAGAAATACCCAGTTACATCTCTCTTTTAGACGGTTCTCTCCCTCCTCTGCTTCAGTGCAGTATACATTATTGAACCCATCTTACTCAGTGTCTCCCTAACCCCAAGGACAGTCCCATTCTACAACAGTGGCATCATGTAATATTTGTCCCTTGTGGGACTAAGTTCACTCAGCATAATGTTCTCCAGTCCCTCCCAAGTTAGGTAATAATTTACAAAATCATTACTCCTGTGTGCTGCATAGTATTCCTTTGTGTGAATGTACCATAATTTCTCAGTTTGTTTGTGGTTGAACGTTTGGGCTGTTTCCATGTTCTTGCAATCCTGAATAATGCTATGAACACTGGTGTACAAATCTCCATATGTGCCTCATTTTCTCAGGGTATATTCCAAATAGTGGAATAGCTGGTTTATAGGGAATTTCTTTGTTCAGCTTTTTGAGGAAGCGCCGAACTGCCTTCCAGAATGGTTGTACCATTTTACAGTCCCACTGACAATGTATAAGAGTTCCTTTCTTGCCACATCCTCTCCAACATTTATAACCTGCTTCCCTGTTAAACTGTGCCACTGTTACTGGAGTGAGATGGTACTTCATTGTGGTTTTGATTTGCATCTCTCCTATTGCCAGTGATTTGGAGCATTTCTTCACGTATTTGAATATCTTCCTTTGTGATAGATCCTTTTAAAAGGACCTCCTTATTCAATATAAATTAATCCTAGTTATTTATTCGCTTATTTTTTTCACTCAGCACTCATTGAACACCTGTTGTATTCATTGGGCATTGTGGTTGCTGTTATGTGCCATCAAGTTGACTAAGACTCATAGCTACCCTATAAACAATGGCTCTGGACTTTGCCCTCTCCGGAGCCAACCTCACTGTCTCTGACACATCTGACTCCATTGCCAGAGTAACTGTTAATCCATCTCATCCATGGTCTCTTTCTCCTGCACTGACCATCTGCCCTTTCTAGCATGATATCCTTCTCTAAGGACTGGTTCCTCCTGACAACATGCCCAAAGTATGTAGATAGAGCTTTAAAATTCTTGCCTCCAAGGAGTAACCTGGTTTCACCCTCTCCAAGGTAGACCTGTTTGTTCTCTAGGCAGCCTGTGGAATGTTTAATCCAGCATCACAACTCGAAGTCATCAATACTTCTTCTGTCATCCTTACTCATTGTCCAGCTCTCACATATGTAGCAAGCAATTGAGAAAACCATGGCCTGGACTCTAGACTAAGTGCTCTTTTTTGGAGATTTTCCCAGTGCAACTTGTCTTTGGATTTCTTGACTGCTGGTGCCAAGAGTGTTTGGCATTAGGGACATGGTGTTTATTTTTAAGGGGATCACAGTCTAAGAGAGAATATGACTCTGTAGTGAATTATTTGGTAAGTGCAGCAATAGGGCTGCATACCAGATAAGAAGTATAAATGAAATGATGAAGGAGAAGGCATCACAGTGGAATTAACTACCGTTCTGGGCCTTGTGAAAAGAGTAGGGATTCATTAGGTACAGAAAGGAGTAATTTTCCAGGAATGGAGAACAGCATGTGAAATTGTTTAGCGGCATGAAACAGCATGGCACTAATTGCTGCTGTACATCCCCTTACAGGTGAGAATGGCAGTCAGGATGCCAGTTCTTCCCTGTCCCCACCCCATGGAAGCCCAGCTGGTCACATGTGGATCCTCTGATGGCCTCTGACTGGGAACTTTAGCCCCTCAGTCCTCTCAAGGACATTTCCCTCTGGTCTCACTGCTTTCTCTGATCTTACCTTCCAGGTTTGAAGCCTTAATTCGTTAGTTCTTCCACCCACTTTTTAGACTTCTAAGTTTGAGACTTTTCTTTTCACCCACTCATTATTTAGGCTTCCTTCTTAACTGTTTCTCTAGCT